GGTTAGTTTTGAAGAGATTGAATGGTATATAGGTGCTTTCTTTATAGTAAAGAGAGTGGTTATGGGCTGTTTTTGGGTATGCAGTACAGAAAGAAACTCATGGTTTTCAAATAAATACTAAGAAAGGTCAATTTATACGATTCAAGGGAGACAACACTTCAACCACAAAAATCAACAACTAAAGGATTCAAATTTGAAAAAGAGCAAAGTTTTTATTCTTTCCTTGCCTCTTTCTTTCTTTCTCTCTCTTATACTTTTTTTTTCATTATTTATTCTTTCTAGTTGAAAATGATTAAAAAATTGAAGAAATAAAAAGAAAATCCGTATTTTTTATGTACTTTAGCTATTATAACCACCATACACCAAACTATTAATAACTATAGTTTCAACACATTGATAATTATCAGTCATGATAATGCTTTTGCTTCCTCTCTCATATCTCACATAACAATGACAAAATCTTTGTAAAAAAAATCTTTCTTTTAATGTGCTTTAAAATACATTAATTTTAGTATATTAAATATTTTTAATATATTTTACTATATCAAAACAGTGTATTTTTTTTAAGACACATCAGATGATCAACATAAAAAATCAATAAAGAATTCAAATTTGCAAAATCATGACACGAACTTATCCATCTTTTTTTTTTCATGTTATATATAAATTCATTTCATCTCATTCATTTTTTTCATGATTATTTTAAATGCGATATTTTTTTGTTTTTTAAAGTTGTTCTTCTCCCACATGATTTCCTTGTATTTTTGCCCTAACTAGAAAGAGTAAAGTATAAAAAAAACACAATAAATTAAGGAATTTACAGAATCGTTGTGAAATTTATGAAAGATAATCTGTAATGAACTTTACACCTTGGCATAGGCTCCGTATGAAGAATCAATTATTAAAAGTAAAATGGAAGTTGTCGGATTGAGAAGCACATAAAATGGTTCATTATCTCCTTAACATGTCTCGTTTGAAGAGTCCGATAGGGCTTAATTTGGAAATAGATAATACACATGCATGTCAACTTTGTGCTTTAATTAAATTATTTTATTTATAATGGAAACACTATGATTGAACTTTAAGTCACTTACTTGGTCATGGAGACTTGATAGTTGCTACAGTGTGTGAACTATTTTCAATGCCTTCACCCAACACCTTTATTAAAAATATTATTCATCACACTCCTATCATGCATACATCCATACGAAACCTCTTACATTTTTTTCTATTTTTCATTAAAAAAATAATAATAAAGCCGTGTTTGTTTTTCTTTTTCTTTCAAAAAAATGGCTTGTGTTCTATGTATATAATTAAAAAATACGTTATCTTAGAGTGGAAAACAAAATGTGAGGTTGAAAAGAGAGGAAATTGTAAATGGCTTCCTTATGAAGAAGTGTGATGTCGGTGTTGGAAAGTGGGAACCAACGCTCATTGACATTAGCTTTTCTCCCAATTCACTCTCATTTTCAAAGTTGGCCATAAAAAAGAGTTTGAGTTTAGGGATCAAAAGGAATTGAAGGGTATTAGTGGAATACAACTAATAAAGATGCAACTAATTTAACTTAGAAAAAATGTCAACAGCTGTGTTCTCTAAAATACTCTTTATCATTGTCTAAATTTGGTTGAAAATAATGAAACATGAGTTTTATTTATTATTTATTGAATTTTACTCATAATTTGTAATAAACCTTAAAAATAAGATTATATATATATATATTGAAAATATATGTTAACAAAGTATTATTAAGACTCCTTTTTAACTAAGTATTTTTAAATGTCTTTGAAGACTTTTTCACAAAGACAAATTGAATTTAAGTTATATTTGACCTTAATGCCACAACAAATCTTACCCTCCAAATATGTAAATAAACAAAAGACAAATATGAAATGAAATTAGTGCCAACAAGAAACCTTATATGTATGTATATGAACCTTAATATTAAAAGAAAATGAAATGTAAAGCATAGTTGTTGATGAGAAAAAGAGATGTTTAGCGGTGGTGTATAATTCGAGGAAGAAGGTAGAAAATAATTTTTGATGATGTTGGGAAATGTGAAGAAAGTTGATTGTTTTGAAAGACTTTAAGGGTAGAAACAAATGAGTTAGTTAAGATAAGAAATTCCATGAATTCAAGAAACACTGAAATTTAGATATAGATAGATAGACATCACGGATAACCAATTAGGGTATCCTTTATTTACGAAGCCTAAGTAAGTGAAGTCTCTAGGTTATGTGTCTGCTTCTTTTAAGACAAAAAGGGGGGGCCGGAGGGTATCTAACCCTAGCCATTAACTATAACCTGTAACATGCCACCAAACATTCCAAAACAATATCTAATTACACTCTTTTTTTCTTTCATAATTGCAAAACAAAAATCTTTGCCTGCTTACAACTATGCATTATATAGATCTTCTGTTTGCTTGTCTCCTAATTAATTAATTATTAGTTATGTGCTTCTAAGGAAATCACACTCCTGCACTTTCCCATTAATTAATTCTATCTGCTTCGTTTCTTTATTAATTTAATATGATGAACAATGAGACATAGACGTTGGGAAGGATGGGAGAGCAGAGATTCCACTTCCTTTAATTGAAGAAAGGGATGGGGCATCCTTCCAGATTCAACACCTGTTCCTTGACCAAGACTATTGTGCCATTCTTTGCTCCCATACCCTTCACCACCATTCTTTCTTTCTTATATATAATACCATTATCATTATCTCTATCACAAAATTTAACTCAGAATTAATTTAAGTAATAAAGTTAATGTTTTTAAAATAAATAAATTTGAGAAAAAGAAAGAAGATATAGAGAATATATTATTATGTCTACTGGAGGGCATCACCCACCTCCGATAAAATCCAAAACTCATTGAATTGTTTTGTAGCCCCCAGCACTTTCCCTTGGCTTACATCACCCGTTTCAGAGGCTGTCCCCAACTCTCTACCACTGCTAAGTAACTTTCTCTGCCTTACCATCGTACACATCATGAATTATACATGCACAGTACAGTTTATTTTAGCCCCTTAATCACACCAACCCCCCGTTTTCTCACTCACACGCGGGACACACTCACACACACACACATGAAACCATTGTTGTTGGTACATTACACAGGAAGAATCCGTTTGGGAAATCATGGAGACAGCAATGTCTGTCACTGTCATGAAATGAAGGCAATAAATAAATGGTTGGGTTATTAGGTAATCTATAACATTAATGCTTCCCTAGCTTTCACAATATATCTATATATATATATTTATATATATATTCTTTGAAATTAGTTATTATGTATAATAATGTATGGTCAAAGGGATAGGAGTATAATGGCCTGCCTGTCAAGCTTTTTCTGGTGTGTCAGAGTGGGGAAATGAAAGTAATGAGTTCTTCTCCATTTAGTCATTATGTAACTTACAGATTCATCAGAGATGGGAGGGTAGCAGGTGCAAAGAAAGGAGATACCATCAAAGATAGAGAAAGAGAGAGAGAGAGAGATGGTNTTATGTAACTTACAGATTCATCAGAGATGGGAGGGTAGCAGGTGCAAAGAAAGGAGATACCATCAAAGATAGAGAAAGAGAGAGAGAGAGAGATGGTGGAGTTCTTAAATTTCAAGTGTATAGATGCTGTCGTTGAAACTTTGTTTTCTGATGCTTGTTCATCATGATTTTGGTTGGGAAAATTTTCCACCACTATACCAGGTTATGGTTACAACCGGTTGAATTAGCTGGTGTCATTTTATGTATGCCGCGCTTTCTCTTTGGTTCTTGCTAATTATGTATCATACGGTTGCTTTCAACTTCCGGTTTCAAACTATTCGAGGAAACTGGGAAATTTTGTACATCAACGTTTGAATTTTCATGTATGTGGAGAATGTGAAAAGAGGGTGACAGAATGGGAATAATAAAGAAGAAAACATGGGGAAATACCGTGTCTTCACTGGAAGGGTTGAGGGATGTGATTCTAGCTTCTTGCAACCTTATGGATCTTTTTGAACAAAGACTAATCCATTTTCTCATTTGGGTTCAAAAAATAATAACTCGGCTCTTCCTTTTGGGGTAAGAAAAAATTATAAGAATACTGATATCTGACACCACTCATGTATATAAAGAAAAAGGATTTTTCCTGGTTAGGAAGTAATTAGCCATCCAATTTACGCATTATGACTCAAACTAGTTAGTACACTCGTTAGTTTGCTACTAGTGGCTAGGAGAGTGTGATGAAATAGTATTCAAACAGTAATTTGATGTTGATATTTCGCTTCCTGTAAGGGATATCCTGGCACCACTATCTTGTTCCTCACGTAGCAGACAACCGATCGAACAAAACTACAAATCCTAGTTAATGGAAAAATGGAAAAGCAGTGGCTCATAGGTATTAAAGTTAATTAAAAAGGTGGTAACATTTATTAGGTGCGGTGTTGTGGCCGGTTGAGTAGAATAAATGGTTGTGGTTTAGGAAGTTAGCCTGGGACTGGAATCATGAGTACATGCTGATACCTAAGTGTCAGGAAACAGAACGGTAAGCGATGGAACATGAATTAAAACATAAAATATCTATCTATGAAAAGATGGATGCTGCTGCAGGAGCATTGGGGTTCAGGATCAAGGCCATAGAAATCAGATAACAGTCACAAAGACATGGAGCTACGTGAGGAACAATGTATCATGCTGTTTTTGAACCACATATATAAATATAATATATGATATACATTATTATTATTATTATTATTATTATTATTATTACGTTTGGCCTATGCTTCTGCTGCTGATGATGGTTCATGAATTTGGGGTGAGGTTGATTGTTTTCAACTCTGGAGGATGTTGAAAAATTAGAACTTGGGGAAGGGAGAAGGAAAAGGAGAGGTGGGGTCTGAGTGAAATATTAAAATATTTTTGTGTACAATGAAAAGTATATGGTTCATTTATTTCACCCCAACTTTCCCCACCTAAATGTATAGTATGCGTAGGAGAGAGAGAAAGAGAGAGGGAGAGAGAGAGAGGGAGAGAGAGAGAGAGAGAGAGAGAGAGAGAAAGAGAAAGAGAGAGAGAGATGGAGTATAAATGTAAGATTTGCTTGTTGGTGGGCTTATATAAAGGAGGATAGGATGTTGCAGTTCCCCACTCTTAAAGATAGCTAGGTGAGGGGGTGCAAGGGAAAGAGATCAAATTGTTTTGCTTTCTGAGGATTTGATGGAGGAACATCTCACTCCACTGGCTGTTACCCATCTCCTTCAACACACTCTCAGAAGTTTGTGCATCCATGAAAATTCCCAATGGGTCTATGCAGTCTTCTGGAGGATCTTGCCAAGAAACTACCCTCCACCCAAGTAAGGAGAGGGGAATTAGAGATCAATCAACTCTATATATATCTCTTGGAAAGACAGATTTTTCTGGACTAGCTAGGCACAAAGATCACACACACATATACACATATATATAGTTAGTATCTATAAATGGACTATTAGTAAACTATATATAACTTTATGAAAACGTTTGTGTAATAGATGTGCTGATTCTTGAATCTTGTTTCTTCGTAATCATATAGGTGGGAAGGACAAGGGGCATATGATAGATCAAGAGGAAACAGAAGGAATTGGTATGTTTCCAGTGTTGAGGTTAACTTCAACACTGGTGCAGAATTATTGTGTTTGGTTAACAAAAGTGTGTTTATGTGCATGTAGGATACTGGTGTGGGAAGATGGTTTCTGCAATTTTGCTGCATCGGCAGCTCCTGAAATCAACTCTGGAGATTGTCCCACCTCGTCCGTTTATGGGAACTGTGAATTTCAGCCCTACCAAGGACTGCAACCGGAACTCTTCTTCAAGATGTCCCATGAGATCTACAACTATGGAGAAGGGTATGCAATATCTATGTGTATTTTAATCCATAGCAGTTTATATATCCTTTTGTGTCACACTTTTTTTTTTTTTTTATTCTGCTCCTGGAAGATTTGAAAGCAAAGTAATTATGTTGAATGGAGCAGGTTAATAGGAAAAGTTGCTGCAGATCACAGCCACAAGTGGATATACAAAGAGCCTAATGATCAAGAAATCAACTTCTTGTCAGCATGGCACAATTCAGCAGATTCGGTGAGAAAGAAATTAAAACCCCACCTATATCTTCACTACGCTTGCAAAGTGAACAGCATTAAATGCCAAATTTAATTGCTCACAGAATCATCCAAGTTTAGCTATTAATTTCACGTGTTACAAAATTAATACCCATGATTTCATGTTTATGTATATGTTTGTATGTTTTCCAATCGAAAAATCTCTAGTTATATCCTTATAGAACATACATCCTCTTTTGCAGCACCCTAGGACTTGGGAAGCCCAGTTCCTGTCTGGTATAAAGGTATGACTATGAAACATGGAGCCACTCTTTGATTTCAGACTGCAGGATATCTCCTTTCTCTACTGAATTCAAATATTGTATCATACATTGATTCTTTCAGACCATAGCTCTTATTGCTGTGAGAGAAGGTGTTGTTCAATTAGGAGCTGTTCACAAGGTTTTTTTTCCCTCTTCTCCTCTCTCTTTGTCTCACCCACTTGGCAAAATCTACTTTACAATTTTACTCTTCTTCATGGAACTGAAGGTGATTGAAGACCTGAGCTATGTTGTTCTTCTAAGAAAAAAGTTCAGCTACATTGAGAGCATCCCTGGTGTGCTGTTGCCACATCCATCATCTTCTGCATACCCTTATAAAGTAGAAGGAGGGTATGGAGTTCCAGAACAATGGCATTTTCAAGGGAACCATCTTGCACCTCAAGCTGACTTATATGAGAACCACTTCAACTTGCCACTGAAGATAACTCCCTCGATGAGCAGCCTGGAAGCACTTCTGTCAAAGCTGCCCTCAGTGGTGCCACCACCACATCCGACACAACCACCACAGTCCCATCATCACCAACTTCTGGCATCACCCCAGCAAAGGCCACTGGAGTTCATGGGATCAATGCAGAAAGTGGCAAAAGAAGAGTTAGAAGAAGAAGTATACAGACCAGAACTTGACATTGGTGAGAGCAGCACTTCCATGTCAGGCTACCACCATCAACATCACTTCCATCAAGATCAGAATAATGTAACTAGGAGTGGAGCCAACGATGGATTTTGAGTTTCGATCACCAGACTTTTGCAAAAACACATGGAAACAATATCATATCAGTCGCATTAATGAAAATTTAGTCCTAATTATCAACTCCTAACAGTAATTGTACCCAGTTTTTACCTTCATTCTTGTCATTATAATAATAAAAAAGAATAATAATGATGGTGATAATAATAATAATTATAGTATAATAAGATAATAACCATGATAAGTGCTTGTTTTTTGGCTGGTGTTTTATTTTGTGTAGATGGTTCTGATTCTTAGTAGTAAGAAAGGAAGTTGTATTTCATGCATGCGTGTGCATATCTGCAGCTGCTGATCATGATGTGTCTGTCAGTCGGTGGGCGTGTGTATGGGTTCGTAGCACGTAGTCACACACAGCGAATCTAGAACAATATTGTACTTAGAAATCAACTGTTACAGTTGTTTAAGGATGTTAAGTGTTGCAAGTAATAATATAATAGTATATTGTATTGTAACTTATAATAAAAATCTCATGAATAAGCCTCACATGTTGTATTGTATAGAAACAAAGAAAAGAAAAACTATATATATACATATATATGTATGGATGTAACTAGTGATTTAGATATGTTTTTTTTGCTTCAATGCACGAGTCTTATATAGGATTACTAATAAATATAAATAATTAACATGAAGATAGTCTGCTATTTTTTATTTATTTAGTTTCTGATATGGTTTTTATCGGAATTATGCTTAAAGAAGTAAAAGCAAAATGTGTTGGAATCAGTATGATTTGGAATGAGTAGTCTCTATTTTATAATTACATTCATAATGATTGAAATTTTAAAATAGTTTAATAATGATATAAGATAGGATTACAAGTAAATAAATAACCCATCTCTCCAAAATATAAGAAGTCTTAATAACTGAATATTCTCTTATATTTTCTAATAAACTAAAAGAGAACAAGTATTTTTTGGATGAAGTTTTCTATAAATATTTGAAGGACAAAAGTTAAAAACCGAAATTAACTTGTAAATTCAAAATAATTAAGCAAAAGGTAATTTGGGGGCAACTTTTAATAATTTTTCTATTTTTTAATTTAAATATAAATGATTTTTAGTCTATAAAGAAGTTTATTTTATTTATTCTCATATTTTTCTTTTTTAAAAGTATTTAAGCATAAGTTCATCAAGATGGACTCACACCTTCAAATGAGTTAATATTTAATTCCAGCATATATTTTTAAACTTGTTTAAACCTATACATACATTTTGTGGTATGTTTTATTCTAAAATTTTAAACAATTGAGACCAAAATGGATTAGAAAGGCTGGTAGTTTGTAAGTGCAAGTACGTGCAAGTGGTAAAACATGTATATGAATCATGCCAATATAAGGGTAAGATTTATTAAAGAGAGGCTATATGTGAAAATAATCTATTAATAAAATCTCAGTATAACTGCATAACCAATTGATATAACTTTCTATTTTTAAGACAATTAAATTAATAAGTTTTTATTTTTATAATTTTTTATTTTTATTTAACGTGAAACTTAAACTCTTATTTATATTTTATGTATAAAAAAATATGAATAAATTAAAAAAATGTTATTTTATTATAAATAGTCTATATGTTTTTTTCATCTAAAAATAAAATATTTGGTTTCCTGAAGAAGATGATGGTGGGCAATGGGTAGATCATGAGTATAACAGTGAGGAAGGATTGTTATATGAAGTGTGAAGAGTAGAAGATTGAAAATAATAATGGAGGGTGTTGAAGAAAGGACATAACCAAACTTAGTGCCCATTGTCTATTGTAAATAATTGATTATCAAACAATACATAGCAGGCTGCAGCACCTACATTTCGACCTTTTCTCTAACTTAAGTGTAAAATTAGATTCCCTTCTGTTGCTCTGATTCATACAAGTTTTACCCAAAAATGTCAACGCATCATTGTACGTGTGTGATTTTTATTTAATTTTAAAATAAAACATGACACTTGCTGTTGTTTTTTTGCTAAAATTGACAAAATTTAATTAATTTACTTCTTTTCTTAAGAACAATGTGCTATTAAAGTGTGGTATTGTAACTAGTTATTTTTTAATTATAAAATATCATTTTGAGGCATAGTATGAGCTATATCAATGCTATACAAAGGTTATTAATATACAGATGATGGAAACGTGTCACATATGTTGCAAACAATTAAGACTACCTTGTCGTCCTCTTTATTGTGCATAAATTTAGTTTTAAAATATAAAAATTACATTATGATCAAAACAGCAAAAGATTATTTTCAAATAAATGAACAGTTTGAAATAAAATAAATAATAATTCTGAGACAATATAAAAATTATTAATAATATATAATAATAATTAATAATAATATTTACATTTATATATAATAGCTTGTGATAAAACATAATTTATTTTTAACTAAAAAACAAAAATATCACATGACTTAATTAATGAAGGGACTCAAGATAGGTGTCATCTAAAATATATATATATATATATATATATATATATATATATATATATACCCAAAATTTTCTTTTCTCTTTTTTTTTCATAAAAATAAATGTAATAAAGTTTAGAACACATGTATAGAAAATAAAATTTTCACCGTTACAAATTAGCATATCGAAATAGTTTTAAGAAAAATACTAATAAATACTTATCACAAAATATTCATTTCGTCAAAATAATATATAAGTTACACATAGGTGACTAATATTTTGAATCCAATCTTAAAATAGTTTTAGCACCCTTAATTTCTCCTTATATCTTAGCTAAACTATACTATTTTAATAAGTCTTACAATCCTGGTGAATAACTAACAAACAATTCAAAATAATATAATACAATTTAATAGGTACAAAACAATAAAAAAATTAAAATAATATAATACTATATAATAAGATCAAAAAGTCACACAAAGTTCAGTATTATAATAATTGACGTATAATGAATTAATTATAAATTCCACAAAACTAATTTCAACTAAATAATTCTAAATTTAATAGAATGCTTTTTAAATTAGTCAAACATAATAATTATAAATTTCCATATCATTTAATTTTTTTTTTCAAATGATACAAATAAATCATTTTGAATGAAAACTACATAATTTTCCATTTGCATGCAGATTAGGCTTGGTACAACTCATTTAAAATAGACAAATTATTAAAATATATAAAATAATTTCAAAATATATTTTTATTTTTAGAATGAAGTTATTGTCAAACAAATTATGATTATTATCAACAAATGGTGCAGATATTGGCAATCTGTGAAAGAGAATCTTGATAATTTGGCCTATTTGTAAACTTTTACATACTTGTTGAAAAAAGTCAGTGAACAATATACACATTCAATAAAAGAAAAAAAAATATGTTCATGAATGTATCTGATTTGTAAAATTTACCGATATTATTTAAAACAGAATTCTTATAAGATCGCATTGACAAATAAATAGACTTTTGTAGAAGATATATAAAAGTATATTCAAAGAAAAAGAATATATAAAACAATATATCAAAAAGAATAAAGCATGCAAGACGAAACTACGTATGCTCAAGTTCAATTGATTAATGAAAGTCATTCTCACTGACAAACTAGATGGATAAGATAAATTCTTAAGCTACCTACTACTTGTGACGTCACACAGTTGAGTTGAGACAACTCAAGTCGGTGAACTGGGCAGAATAAACATTTGTGAGAGTATGAACCCAAAACTAACTTCGAGAGGAAGAATATTATATGTTCACCACGTCATATATAGATCAGTTCAGTTAAGCCAACCAGGTACAAGCATCCGAGACGTTATTACATCCAAAATGGATATGAATATGCAACTTGGCGTGCTTAATAATACACCAAAGAGACAAATCCAGGATCCTTATAAAAAACTAGACAAGTTGCTAACAATCATCACTGAAGACCGACTCTAAAAGGTTTATTTTCTTCAAAAGTCAGTCAATAACTTCAAATAAAATAGAAAATTCTAGAGGCATGTAAACTCGACTGCTTATAGAACTGAAGACCGACTCCAAAAAGGTATATTTTCTTCAAGTCAGTCAATAACTTCAAATAAAATAGAAACGCAAAAACAGCAATACAATGATCTAGTTGACTACGCTCCAGGTATAACCAAAAGTTCCGTTATCTTAGTAGTGTGATGGCAATGCAATACACTGATCATTCAAATCATATATAAAACCAGGATAAATAGCTAAATTAAATTAAAAATATAAATAATGCACACACAAATGTATAAAAACTAAGGTATTTGGGGCTGAAAATTTTCTTCAACAGTTTTCACAAGTAAAGTATCAATGGTAAGCTGCAGCTTCGTCTCTGAAATGCTTAAGTAGGTTCTCTATACTCATAACGTTATGATCTCCCTTGTCTCTAACTCGCACACTCACCTGGAATCACAAATCAACTCAGCTTTCCACAGGTAGTAAAGAGAATAGTCAAAAGATAGCTCTACATGATCCATAAACAATGGAGCAAAACATGGGCGTAAACACTGATGTATAACATTTTACTGATGTAGAAATGAAAAACAAATTATATTTGGTCCAATAAGATAATGATGTTATACTATTAATGTAGTTAACTTCTCCAGACAGATCACCCATTGGCAACTCTTAAGAGATAATGCGGAAGCAAGCCTCCAAGATTAGTAGATGATGCAACCTTAATCAGAATACTTAGAAATGTAGCCCAGGCATACTTGAGCTAAAATGAGGAAATATTATTAGGTGGTTTTAAATTAATATTTAAATAACACATGACATAAATTGTAAAATTTGAATGTATTATATAGATATAAATATTTGTTGGATTAGGAATATGGGTACTTAGCGTTCTACTTGATAATTTCACCAAAATGAGAGATACTAGCATCCTTCAGCTCTTCTAATTAAAATCAATCAAGACAAAGCTTAAACAGTCTTAACCAAGCTAGTATCCTTAGCCCAACTTTGACTTGTTCTGTAGGCCAAAGGTAAATGTCTTTCAATCTCAACCCTTTCCGTTTCTAAATTTGAATGATGCTATACGTTTTGCACATGGCATGAGTGTAAATGAAATATTGTGATGAAATTATTTGTGCA